TATTTAAAAGTTTCCTAGCATTTTAAAATGTCAAAATTATTTCTAATGCCTAAATTTTGGAATTTCTATCCTTCAAGATTAAAAGAATATACAATTATAGCTTTATAATTTTTGTATTTATGCTGCATGTGATTAGAAAGTTTAGGCTCTTGTTCGTAGGATATTTTTTTCTGGAAAGAAATTGTGTTTTACTCCTCATTAAAAAGCCAGTTGGGGGCTGGAGAGATGGCTCAGTGGTCTAAAGCACCTACTTGGAACAAGCTTGGCTAAAGCACAGGGACCTTGGTTCAATCCCCCAGCACCACATGCCAGCCAGCCCCGCCCCCTGGTGGGCTGAGCTGGCCACACACACACACACACACACACACACACACACACACTAAAAAAAAAAAAGCCAGTTGGATTATACTCACTAATTTTTTTAACTTTTATAATACTAGGTTTTTGTTGAAATAGTTGTATGTTTTTTCTGTAATTTGATTAGTAAGGGTAGGGAATGAATTTGACACCTACTTCTAGAAATGATCATAGTGAGGTACATTTGTAAAATTATCCTTTTTGCATTCATCAGCACAGTCAGTAGTCCATGAGTTTCTCATCTTTAACCAACAACCCATTATTTATATAAATAAAATACTATATCAAAACATATAGCTGAGAATAAAACAATCTGAAGCTGCATAGTAGTGAAAAGCCCAGAATGGCCTGAGGCAAGCCGAGGGAGTTAGGAGCTTACTCTGCGGCCTCTGCCCACCCTCTTTGTGTTGGGTGAAAGTCCTCAGGACCTTCTGTTTTAAAAGTAGAGGGGTTTTTTTGTTTGTTTGTTTTGTTTTTTTCCCAGAACTGGGTATTGAACTCAGGCCCTTGAGCTTACCAGGGAGTGCTTATTTTACTGAGCCATCTCCCTGGCCCCAAAGAAACAGCTATGAAAGGAGGTGATCAGAGGCTTCCCTGCGCCCCCGGAACTGGGGATTGAACTCAGGCCCTTGCGTTTGCATTAAGCCAGACACTGTGGCCCTTGCCTGTCATCGCAGCTTGCTGGGCACTAAGGCAGGAGGGCCACCAGCCAGGGTGACCTAGTGACAGCTTGACTCCGAAAAGGAAAGAGCTGGAGGAGTAGACCGGTGGCAGGGTATGTGCCTAGCATGAGTGATGCCCTCACTCCAATGCCCAGTACTGTGAAAAGTACGACATTAGAATAATCAGATAGCTTTTAGAAATGGATAATGATGTTTCTTTAAATTTTATTTATAATTCTGCAATGTCTTGGGATAATTTTGTGGATCCCTGGAAATTTGGATTGCCACTTGTTGAGAAGTGCCATATCAGATTATCTTGAGGTTCCAGATAATTCTAATGTTCTAAAAAGCTTGTAATTTGAAGTTGGTACCAACTTGTGGTTTCTATCAAACTATCAAGTGGAAAGACTACAACCCTACTTCTTAGCGTCATCAGAGGCAGCTCCCCAAGTGGCCTGTTTCCCATTAACTGGCAGTCACAAACCTCTCAGCAATGATTTATCTGCTTTTTGAAGCAAATCATGCTTTTACTTAAGGTGCTATTTCATGGGGGAAATCTGTTTCTAGATTTACTATATCTACAAATTAATAATTTCTTGGATTACAGAAATTAGTACTTTTTAGTACTTTCAAATGCTTCCTACATTTTATACTTTAGGATTTGATTTAAATGTCTGTGTTTACTTCTGATAATTTTAGCACTGCATCATGACTGCTCTTAGCTCTTCTTTCACCAAGCTGAGTTAGTATGCTGTTTATTTGTTTGTTTGTTTGGTACCAGGAATCAAACTCAGGACCTTGCACTTGCCACGTAAGCACTGTGCCACTGAGCTGTATCCCCGGCCCTCTTTGTTCTTATATGGCAAACTTTCCATGGTGTGTGTGTGTGTGTGTGTGTGTGTGTGTGTGTGTGTGTGTGTTTAGTGCAGGGTCTCACTAAGAGTCAGACTTGTATTGATCCTCCTGTTTTCAAGCCTCCCAAGCACTGGGATTACAGGCCCATGCCACCATGCCTAGTCTCAGTCGCCCTCTCTGCGTGCCCCAGGGGCGGATTGAACCCCAGCTGCTGCACTGTGCTTAAGCAGGCGCTTTAATCTGCTGAGCTGGCTGGCTGGCCCCTTCCATGTCTTATATCATTAAACATTCGTATAACTTTGGACAAGCTCTCTAAAACCTTTGTGGAGATTCACTTTCTCCGTCTATAAAGAGGAGATGTACATACCTATAGCTGCTGAAAGGATTACGTAACATAGTCTGCACTGTTTGCAGTGGGCCTGGCTTATGGGAAGTCGTCCACACATTTCACCTACCATCAGCATCACCATCACCAATTCCTAACTTCCCACCCTACGACGCCTGTTCCCTGGGGAGGGTGCGAGAAGCAGAACATTTTCGTGGGATTTTGTGTATAGACTTAAGCTCCTAAAACATGTATAAGCTGAATAAATGTCTTAGTTACTTTTCTCACTGCTGAGACAAAATACCCAACACCCCAAATTAAAGGGGGAAAGAATTTATTTAGCTCATAGTTTGTGGAGGTTTTGGTCCATAATCAGCCGCTCCAAAGCAGGGTGGCTCCGCAGAGGGGCATCACAGAGAAACTTCTCATGGGGGCCGGAGGTAGCAACGCAGCAAGGAAAAGCAACCACAGCTCTTTCCACCCATTGTATTTTATTTAGGCTTCCTGCGGCAGGCAGCGCTTGCACCCTTAATCCCAGCACCCTAGATCCTAGCATTGCTCCGCAAATCCGTCACACACTCCAGACCAAGCCACCTCTGCAAAAGCCCCACCTATGGCCACGTGAGGCTTTGAGACCTTTAGACACAAGCCATAAGAATAAGTAATGTATCTAAGTGACTAATTTTCATATATATATATCTGTATATATATGTGTGTGTGTGTATACATACATATATATATCAGCTTCATTAAAATTGTTGAAGAATTCATAGTAACTTTTTGATATAACTGTTCTAATATCATGGACTTTTTAAAAACATTAATTTGATTTATGTTGATGTTAATGGGAGTCTTTGGCTTGAAATGGATGAGCCCAGTATTTTATCCTTGTTGTATTTTTTTCTGTTGGGTTTTCCTAACACCATCACCCCTGCTATTACAGTTTCATGATGGAAACAATATGGTAGGTTTATATGGATCATAACTTCAGACAGAATTTTTTTTCTGTATTTTAGAGGAGGGTCTACAGGGCTTTCAGGGTCTCACTACTAGATCAGACTAGTAGTGATTCACCTGTTTACAGGCCTCCCAAGAGCTGGGATTATAGGCACGTGCCACCACACCCAGTTTCAATCACTATCTTAGCGTTCGGGGCCGGCACGGCAGGCCTGGGGATTGAACCTCTGGCCCCTGCGCCTGCTTGCAGGTGTTTTAATCCACTGAGCTGTTTGGCCGGCCCTCAGACAGAATTTCATTGGATTTCTTTATACTTCCCATATACAACTGCTGACCTCCAATTATTTGTTGGCATTTGGTTAAAATCATATGAACAGATGCTGGAAGAGTCTAATGTTGTTTTTCCCTGCTTTGCCTTGGGTGCTCTCTCTAAATGTGTGTATGAAGGCTTAGATATCCATCCCCCATCTTTCCACAGCTCCCTCCCTGAAGTAGCATTTATCTACATTTATTTGGTCTCTTGTTGCTTTGGCAGAAACTCAGGTGAAACTAGCCTAGTTAAAGAGAAGGAATTCAAGGAATTCCAAAGCACAAGGCTGCAGGGGCAACCTCGAGAGAGCAGGCAGCCAGGCTCTCTTGGGTCAGGAAACACAGCAGGTGGCACAGAGCAAATTGAACCATGCTCTCTCTGGCTCTGTGTTCAGAAATCCTAGGGAAGAGCTTCGATTGGCCTGTTTTGTGATAGGTATCCACCCCTGGATCACCCAATTCTGGCCAGCAAAATGAATATTAAAGTGCCAAATGCCAGCTACAGGGCAGTCTGGAATAAACTCTCCAGGGCAGTCATAGCATTAGGGTGCAGAGAGGAATTTTACCCTGCAGAGACGTCTCAGAGAACTAGCTGTCCTGTATAATACTGCATTTGGGATGATCCGTTCCTAAAGCATTCTTCCAAGTACCTTGTGAGTTTTTAGAGGAAGACGTATTTTGTTCAGTGCTGTGTTCCCAGGCCTACCAAGTGTCTGCTGTAGATACTGGTTGATGAGATGCCAAACTAGTGAACTAGGAGCATAGTAGCAACTTTCTAAGCTCTCGTTTCAGTCTCTTGCTCAGCGACATTAAAAGCACCTCTGTCCAGTGATCATCCATATAGATAAGTGACTTTGCACTTGTCTTGGTTACTTTTCTCTTGTTGCTGAGACCAAGTACTTGCCACTCAAAATGAAGGAAGGAAGGTTTTATGTAACTCACAGTTTGTGGAAATTTCAGTCCATAATCAGCTGGCTCCAAGGCAGTGTGGCGTGGCACAGGGGCAGCAGTCCAAGGTGGCAGAAGATGGCCAAAGCCACAAGAGCTAAAAGGGAGAAAGCAAGCCTCTTTTCCTCCCTGATACCATAAGCAGGCTGCGCCACCCTCCAGGGCGAGGGTAGCACTCGCGCTATCTCCCTGCCCTCCTCTTGCGTAGGGTGAGGATGTTTCAGACTCAGGCCCTGGTTCCATGCTGAGCTGCTTAGTTAAACCTCTGAGCTCCTCAAGTTGATGCAGTGTACCAGCCAGTACAGCACTGAAAGTAAACCTTATTATGTGCACCCCAAAATTACATGTGTAGTCAGAATCGGCTGTGTTCATCACTGCCTTATTACAACCAGAGAAGACAGAATCATCCTTTTGGCTCCTCCAGATGAAATGTCTCTTTTTGGCGTCTTTTCACATAGGCTAAATTCATCTTCTGACTTAAGTGGAGAGAGAGATTAATTTCAGTGCTGACTAGTGACTCCTTTCTTGTCCCGTGGATAATAAGGGGACATAACCTCCCTAATCATAATCTTTTTACTCATTTTTAGGTTTTTGTCAAGCAGGAAAGGACCTGCGCTTGGTGTCCCTCTGTATGGAGCAAATCGATATCCCAGCAGGGTTCCTTCTGGTGGGGGCCAAGTCTCCCAATCTTCCTGAACACATCCTGGTCTGTGCTGTAGACAAGCGCTTTCTACCAGATGACCACGGGAAAAATGCACTTTTAGGTGAGTCTTCGTGCCTATAAAACTTCTTACAGGAGGATGGAGTTTATTGGAGCTTACATAGCTCAAGTATGAAAACTGTTTTCTCTTAGTAATATTAAAAAGTCGGTTTATAGCGAGGTGCAGTGACCCAAGCCTGTAATCCTAGCTGCTCAGGAGGCAGAGCTAGGAGGGTCACAAATTCAAGGCTAGCCTAGGTATTTTAGAGAAATCCTGTCTCAAAAAAGAAAGGATAGAAGGGAGGGAGGGAGGGCAGGCAGGTGGGCTATAGCTCAGTGGGGATACAGCTCAGTGCTCTCTGGATATGACCTTTAGTAATACACAAAAGAAGAGAGAGGATTTTTGGCCAAATGTTCGAAACAGCTATACATTCATCAAAAATTAATATTTTAGGGCTGAGGGTATAGCTCAGTGAAAGAATGCTTACCTGGCTTGAGTGAGGCCTGAATTCTACCCTCTGTACTAAAAAATATATAAAACAAAGCATAACTTATTTTGTATAGTTATCAATATGAACTTCAATTATTATATCAACTCTCAATTATTTATCTATTGATTATTCAATTTTTAAGGTCATTTATAGTTTTTCCATACTAACCATTATTCCTATCTGTATTTGATAGATATGATTCTTATTTTTGATTTAAATATTAGCCCACCTAGAATAATTTAGAACTATATAAGCCAATTATATAAATCATAAAATTCATAAATATATATAGAAAACTATCATAATCCTGTTTATAAATATATAATAGACCTATTTATAAATATATATAAATAGGAATATATAATCTCAGAGTTCTTTTATTTTCTTCTATAATTTAAGAGTCCTGACTTTGTTACAGAATAGTTTCTGTACACCATCAGACATAATGAAGAGTTGATTTTTTTATTATAATTAATAATTGAGGAGAGCCAGGGAGATAGCTCAGTAGAATAAGCACTTGCCTGGCAAGTGCAGGGTCCTGAGTTTAATCCCCAGTACTGCAAAAATAAATAAATAAATAAATAAATAAGAGGGTATATGAGGTTTGTTGATTTTTTGCTGCTTTTTCTCTGAAGTTCCTTTTGTTTCTTGGAATTTCTTTTATTTAAATGGAAGCAGGTGTTTTAGACATAATTATCAGTAAAACGAAAAATAGATTTGAGGGCAAAGAACTGGAATATTCTATTGCTTGGGAGCTGATTTTGTTTTCTGTTTAATTTGATGCCATCTTCCTGGCTATACACTACCATCAGAAATTCTAAAAATATGTCAATATTTTGAGTCACATCTAGAAATATATCAGTATTTTGAGTCAGAAAATGACCATGAACATGGCTTTAAAAGGCTCCTTAAATTGTAGTTTAGAATCATCTTCCTGATTCATAGAAAAAGAAGTGATCATTTTTATGTTCTGTAAGACTCAAAAAATACTATGCTCACTTTCTCTGTTAGTGAAGTTGAGCTCACAGTTTAATATAAAGTCTAATGCTAAAGCGTCTACATGGCACTAAGTTAGAAAGGAAGATGCATTTACTTGTTCATCTAACCAGCAACACGTATTCACAATGTACTGTACAGCATAGACTGTACAGGCCAGGATGCGGGTGAACAGAAATCGCACGGCGTAGCTGTCTCCGTCACAGAGTTTACGACGACTTGGCGGCGTAGAACACGTTCGGAAAACATTTCAACCATTCTAAAAACATTACACTCTTATCTAATGAAATAGGCCAGGTCTATCTCTGACTATTCGAACTGAAAGCGCTCTCATCGTGCTGCTTTATTCAATGATTCTTCATGACTGAAAAGGAACCCTCCTAGAATAAACTGTGGGGCGCACCATCAGAATAATGCGTGTCCTAGTCCTGTGTGATCAGGCATCTGGGAGCAAGAGCATGGGCTGAGGGGTCACGGAGTTCGATTCACCACTTGGTACGCTAGGAATCTGGGCAAGTGCGTTAAGAACCTGAAGTCTCAGCTGGGCCTGATGGTGCACGCCTGTAATCAACAGCACTCAGGAGGCTGAGACAGGAAGATGGTTGCAAGTTTGGGACCAGCATGTGCTAAAAATGTGCTCAAGGCCAGCCTGAACTACATAGCAAGACCCTGTCTCAAAAAGACAAAAATAAAAAGAACCTGAAGTCTCAGATTTCTCATCCACACACAGTGATCAATAAACAGCATGGTAGTGTGAACTTGTAATCCCAAAATTTTGGGAGGCTGAGGTAGAAGGATTATAAATTCAAGCCCAGCCTGGGCAAATTGGTAAGACCTTGTCTCAGCTCTGGTTTTAATCTCCAGTGCCACAAACAAAGATGCGGGGTCTTTTTTTTTTTTTTTTTTTTTTTTCCTGGGGGAGTAGCTATGTAGTACAGGCTGGCCTTGAAATTACTATGTAACCAAGGCTAGCCTGGACCTCATGGTGATTCTTCTGCCTCACCTCCCAAGTGCTGGGATTACAGGTGTGCACCACCACACCTGGCAAATTGCTCTTTAAATTGTAGCTGTTCTGCTATCCTATTTATTTAATACCTGAAGAGACTTGGAGCCTGTCCTGTCTTTAGCTGCTTCTCCAATGGAAAATGCAATACAACAAGATTGTAGACAATGGTTATTGTAAATAACCACATTGTTGAGAGTTTTGCAAGATTAGTCCTCTGTCAAAAAGTTAGCATTCATTTAATCATTGTTAATATTCCATTCTTGTTCTGAAATTCTGTATTCTTTGTATTGTCTTATATTGTTTGGTTTCTATCTTTGTTCTTATTTGTTCTAGTTTTTGTTTTTGTTTTTCCTCTTTAAAATAATTTTTAAAAGTTAACATGCATCCAACATTTCTTACTTATGATGGGTAATTTTTAGACTGATTAAGATAAGGAAGTTTTTTTTGAGATTCAGATATTCTAGAATCCCTATGGAATCCAATATCAATTTGTCTAAATTTTTATACAAATTATGCAGATTCCAAAGACTGTGGGGGAATTGATTTAAAAATATATTGATCCAGTTGGCAATGCATGTACCCCAAATCTACCATGCAATTGGAAGACTTGGTTGCCAGAAAAACTAGAAAGGTAATTTAGCTACAAGTGGTGTTATTCTTTTTATTACTAATGATAGCAAGAACTTTGAGCAGATGGAAATCTCTCTTGAGTATGTGACGCTGAAAACACAAAGAGTATTCAAAATGGACTGCAGTAGCGTTCTGTTTCATTTTTTAAAGGAGGTTAAGAAGGAAAAGTTTGGGCTTGTGAGATGGCTCAGTGGTCTAAAGCACCTACTTAGAACAAGCTTAGCAAAGCACAGGGAACTTGGTTCAATCCCCCAGCACCACATGCCAGCCAGCCCTGCCCCTTGGTGGGCTGAGCTGGTCACACACACACACACACACACACATAAATAAAATTTAAAAAAAAAGAAGGAAAAGTTTATTGGGGAATAGGAGAGAGAACTAGGAATAGTTCTGAGAGACAGGAGGGTCCCAAGTGGGCTGCATGCAAATGTTAACCACCATTTTTTTATGTGAAGGTTTTCTTGGTGGATTTTCCAGATCCTTTGCTTTGTTTGTCCTCAAACTCTTGCTTTTCACCTCAGAGAATAAGCATGGAAGAAAGGATAAAACCAACCTACGCAGTTCATTTGTTCTAATTCTTACACTAGTGTTTTCTGAACTGCCTTTGAGCACTGTTCTTACCGATAGGTGAGTCGCTGTCAGCACACGGTGATCACACCAGAACGCAGACTCCCTGGAGCGAGATTTGCCTGCTAGGTTCAGTGCTTCAAGCCTGGTACCTGAAACCACCTGGCATAGCGTAGAGTTTTCAATGGAGGGGTAGAGGATGTGTTTAGAAACTTTGCAAACAGGGCAGCCATTGACAACCTTTCTGCTAAGGGCCTGTAATCTCAATTTATTGGAAAATGGCCAAGGTTGTACTCTCTGTCACAACCCATCCCTGGATATATTTTAAGTCATTTATAAGCTTATATTAATGTTCATAAGTCTATAAAGTGACAATAAACTATAGATTTCTATACAATTAACCAGAGGCTCTGCTTATCTCTAGTTTACCACTTTCTCTAGTGTTGGGAAAATGCCTGGCATGTAGGTAGGTGCTCAGCAAATAATTGTTGAGAGACGATGATAATCCAGACTTCTCATTCATGAATGCTTTACATTGTCAGCCTTCTAAGAAGAGAGACGCTCTCCTCTGTCTGTGTGACCGTTGTCTTTTCTCCGTAGCTTCGTTACTTATATACCAGGTTGGTTTAGGGGTTTGAAAGAGTATCATCGGCCAACGTATTTTCAGTTAGTTATTTGTATGATTATGCATTATCTTTATACAATAGGGAGGAGGGCTGGGGAGATGGCTCAGTAGAATAAGCGCTTCCCTGGCAAGTGTAAGGGCCTGAGTTCAATCCCTGGTTCCGCAAAAAAAAAAAAAAAAAAAAAAAAAAAAAAAGTACCTATATACAATAGGGAATGCTTTTCTTATTTTCTTTTTGCAATACTTGGGTATTAGATCCAGGGTTTTTGCACTGAGCTACATCATAGCCATTTTTTATTTTTCTATTTTGAGACAGGGTCTTGCCAAGTTACCGAGGCTCAAAATAGAAAAATAAAAAATGGCTATGATGTAGCTCAGTGCAAAAACCCTGGATCTAATACCCAAGTATTGCAAAAAGAAAATACTTGAACTTGTGATGTTCCTGCCTCGGCCTCCCAGAGGGTTGTGATTACAGGGCTCCACCACCATGCCGGGCTTATTTGCACCTTTTGGCCTGTTCATGTTATGCCCTCCCAGACATAGCTGAAGCTCCTGACTTACTTGCCCGCGTTAGCATTTGTGTACTAAGAGGAGCAGAAAAGTTTATTTTTCAGTACAGAAAAGCCTGGCCTCTTGCTCCCCAGCCTCCCCCGATTTCTTATTCCAACATCCCCTGCCACAGTGAGCTGTCTGAAAGCTTGAGCATGTTGATTAGTCTGAGTCGGGAATCATGCAGGTGTCAGGTCTGAAGGGATGGAGAGCTGGTGCAAGGAAAGAGAGGCTGAAGAGAGGGGCAGCAGGGGTCCCAGGGGCTCACACCAGCAGGTGAGCTGGATCTCCAGACACCAAGGTTGGCAGTGCCCTGAGTTTGCACCCCTGTCCGGGTGAGGGCCGCTGCGGGGTGCCTGCTCCCATTTCTGGCACCCAGGGTGACCCCCATACTCGGCTTGCGAATGACTGACACAACCCCGACCCAGGCCCCAATATCCCAAAGCCTCACCAATCCAGGGGCCTCTACCATCAGGCTGACTTTTTGTTCATTTCAAGATTCCACAAGAGACTGTGTGTGTCCCAGCTGGTTCAGATGTCGCCATGGCTGAAGGGGCAAGTTCACAGAATGCGCAGGGCAGAGAGCTGGGTTCCGGAGAGAGGAGCGCCTGGGAGCGAAGCAAGGCCCGCCTATAGGGGCAGCGTTTATGGTTTATCATATACGCTCCACTTGTCCTGGCATATTGTCCAATCCAGGCTGTGTTTTAGTCATTATCCTTTTAGATAAGTCAGCCAGAATTTAAATTCTTTCTTTTTTTTTTTTTTTTTTTTTTGGCAGAACCGGGGATTGAACTCAGGCCCTTGCACTTGCTGGGCAAGAACTTACTCTACTGAGCTATCTCCCCAGCCCTCACTGTTATAACTCTGCTGAAAAAAACATTTTGTACCTGTTTTTCCACTTTGAATATTTCCCTTAAATTGTGGCATTACTAAGTCAAAGAATGTGAATATTTCTATGGTTTTATTTTAACATAAAAAGTATTGTGTCATCTGGGCATGGTGGTACTTATCTGTAATCCCAGCAACTTGAGAGACTAAGGCAGGGACGATCTCTCGTTCAAGGTTAGCCTGGGCAACGTAACAAAAGCCTCTCTCAGAATAAAATGTAACGAGGGCTGGCGTGGTAGAACACTTGTCTAGCATGTGCCAGGCTCTGGGTTCAGTTCTCAGTGCAGACCCCCAACCCCAAGATCGCCACACAAGGCCACCAATAACTTTGGTTCCTCATTTCAGGGTTTTCTGGTAACTGTATCGGCTGCGGAGAAAGAGGATTTCGGTATTTCACGGAATTTTCCAACCACATTAACTTGAAGCTCACCACCCAGCCAAAGAAGCAGAAGCACTTAAAGTACTACCTAGTCAGAACCTCCCAGGGTGTGCTGTCCAAGGGGCCGCTTATCTGCTGGAAAGGTAATCACCTCCCAGGAAGGACCAAGGCGGGCACGGGGACTTCGGGATGCTGACAGGAAGCCATGCCGGGTGCAGAGTTCAGGTACAGCCCTGATAAACAGCCCGAGTCCAGAAGGCTGTCCCGAGAGCGCTAGGCCAGGCAGCTGGATTGGCTCCTTATTGTTTTTAAGAGATTCTGCAGTTCAGGGAAATGCATGTCTCCAGGAAATGAGTGCAGCTCTCAGGAGGAAGAAGGGGTCCTTTCTAGCTCTCCTGTCCTTTAGAAGACCTCAGAGTGGCTGATGCTCTTTTTACTGTACTTAAGTTCTTGGTAATTCTCAGGCATCTGCATTTTTCTATTTTAACTGGACCAAAGCATACTAAGAATAAACAATGCAGTCTTCATAATACCTGGAAAAATGTACTAGTGGATTGGAAACTATGTCTTAAAGTTTGGAACAGCTTAACTACACTATCTGTAAAACTCAATCTAGTTGATAGTAAGTTCAAGCTCAGCCTGAAAAATTTAGTGAAGTAGTAAAACCCTGTCTCAAAATTTTAAGAAAGAAAGAAAGAATAAAGAGCTGGGGATGTACCTCAGTGTTGAGGCCCTGAGGCCTCCCCAGTCCTGAAATCCCTACTACTGAAAAAAAAAAGTAAGAAAAAAATCCAGTTTGATTGAATTGTTATAGGTTCTAGTATTGTTCTAATGCAATAGAATACCTAGTCCTTATTCCATTGAGCAGTTTCTTAGATACTGACTTTTTCCGCATAGAATAATTGTCTATAATGTTTCTATTCTTTGGGGCAGGCCAAATAGCTCAGCAGATTAAAGTGCCTGCAAGCAGGCTTGGGGGCCATGGGCTCGATCCCTGGGCCTGCCATGCTGGCCCTGCCCCCAAGGCACGCAGAGATGGCAATTGAGACTGGGTGTGGTGGCGTGCACCTATAATCCCAGCTCTTGGGAGGCTGTAAACAGGTGGATCACTATGAGTCCGATCTAGTAGTGAGACCCTGAACACCCTGTAGACCCTTCCCTA